CCCCCTCCTCCCTCACCTCCTGCTACCTCCCCCCTATAAAAAAAGCCAAACAAAAAAAAACCCCGTTCATTATTCACTTAATTAATGCAAAAGTCATTCATTCAATTCGACATAATAATAATAATAATGATCATTTTAAAAAAAAAAAGAGAAAATTCTAGATTTTTATGGAGAACCCCCCCCTCCCCGATTTCCTTTTCGATATACATACAAATCATCAGTTTCCGGTTTTTTTTTTAAACAAATGAAAAAATGCTAAATCATCACGCAAATCATTTTTTTTTTTTTTTGTTAATAAAAAAAAAAGGATAACAAACAATATTACGATCATAAATAATAATAATAATAAAAAATTGTTTTTCATGTTAAAAACATTAATTTTTTTTTCTCTTCTTCTTCCTCCAAAACAATAAGAGTTCATACATATATCCACCGCCATTTTGAATCGATTATATTATTATTATCATATAAAAGGATCGAATTGTTTAAACAAAAAAAAAAAAACGTGGAATGTAATTGAATTTAAATTATTTATAAGGATTATTAATTTTTAAAACAAAATTCTCAGCAGGTTTTAAGGTTTAAGGTTTTTGTTTTGTTTATAAATAGAAAACGAATTTTTTTTTTTTTATTTTCCATTAGAGTTGAATTCGTTGTCAGTTTCCTTGTAAAAAAAAAAAAAAAGAACAAAAGTTCAAAGGGAAAAAGTCAGAGAGAGAGAATAAAAATAAACAAAATGAAAGTAAAGAGAGAGAGAGAGAGAGCATTTATACAATTGTCATAAACAAGAACCTTTTGTTACTGAGAGAAAGAGAGAGAGAGAGAGAGTTTTACCATTAATTACAGTTTGGAATCTATTTCTTTTAATTAAATCTGATAAATGACCAAAAAACACTTCGAATTAATTAAATAAAAAAAAAAAAAAAATTTTCCAATCGTTTCTTTTTCGTCGTTTTATATAAAAAATATTATTATTATTATTATTTATCTTATAGGGAAAATTCTGTTGTTTTAAAAAATAATAATAATAATAATTTTACCTGTCTTGTGGATGTTCGTCTAAATCGCACCATTTCCATATGGCTGAATTTGTCCATTTTCTTGTGTAATTTGTTTCTGCTTCTCTTTCCATTTTCAAATAATAATCAGAAAGTTCGTGTCTGTCTGCCATGTCTCTCATTATGTTAAATAACCATTCTCTCATTCGTCTTGGGAAATCAGCCATTTCATCATCTAAGCAAGCCTGAAAATATTAATTTTTTTTTTTTTCTTTTCACCATCGTTAAATTTAACGGAACGAATTTTATTTTATTTTTTATTTTACATAATTAAAATTTTCCTTCCGAATAAATTTTTGTATTATTATTATTATTTTTCTTTTTAAAATTTTATTTTCATTTAAACACATTAAAACAACATATATAAACAAACATTTTAAAATACGGACGCCATTTTTAATTTGAAAACAAAAAAAAAACGACGGTGCTGCCAATTTTTATAATGTGGTAATTAATAAAAGCTTATTTGACCGTTAATTTTTTATTCCGTTGTTTTTTCAAATGGAAAATTTTGTTTAGGTATATGTAAACAAAAACGACGGTGCTGCCAATTTTTATTATGTGGTAATTACTAAAAACTTATTTGACCGTTAATTGTTTGTCTCATTTGTTTTTCAAATGGGAAATTTTGTTTACATATATGTATAAATAAAAGGCGGTGACAAAAAAAAGCGACGGTGCTGCCAATTTTTATAAAGTGGTAATTAATAAAAGCTTATTTGACCGTTACTCTTTATATTCGATTGGGGTTTTCGAAAAAGGGGGGACAAAAAGGATGAATTTTTTTTGAAAAACGTACCGGAAGTTGTTTGCAAGGTCCATAATAATCAATGTGAATGTGTTTGAATTTTTCACCACGGCAAGCTTCGTTATTATGATCGCAAAAACATCTCATTTGATAAACTTCGCAATCGGAATTCCACGTTTCGTTATGATTCGTGCATACTTTTCTCCTTACATCCGTTTCCGTTGGACATGTTGGCACACAAACGCATTCGGCTTTACCGTTAACGACATCGCATATTTTTCCAGCGCCGCATCTTTTGGTTGCACACAAATCTAAATGAATTTAATTAAAAAAATCCGGTTCGAAATGAATTAATGCTGTTGTTGTTGTTTTTTTCAACGACGCCTCCCACAACGTAATTAAAAAAATTTAAAAAAAAAAAAACCATTTTTATATTATGGTAATAAATTCTCTAAGGATGTAACAAATTAACTCGAAAACTTTTTTTTTTTTAAATAAACCGCAATTAACTCGAGACGTTCCTTAATAATAATAATAAGTTTTTAAAATTATAATCAATAAAAAAACATAAAAAAATTTTTTTAATTGATTTTTTTTATTATTATTAGAAAATTTTTAAGGGCCCCTCCCTAACCTCACCAGGAAAATAATAAAATATTAAAACTTTTTTAATAATCGTAGGAAATAATATAGAAGAATACGACTTTTTTTTTTATTTCAATACGAATTCATTGCATCGAAATTTTATTTCCGTTTCCGGTCGTGAAAATCTCGATCGATCGATTGATCGAATCGTTTCGTTTTGTTTTAAAAGGATAACAAAAAAAAAAGAAAACTCACCGATTTCTTCTTTCTTTTCTTCTGTTTCTACTAAATTATCTTCGAAATTTTCTTCTGGAAATTCTTGTGGTTGTTCTTCGTACCGAATCGGATAAGGTTCAGGTGGAATTTCAACGATTGCTTGAGGTTTGGCCTTCGATTTTTTTAAATTTTCTCTATTTTATTAAAAAAAAAAGAATATCGATTTTATTTTTAATAAATATTAATGTTTTTTTTTTTTTTTTCAAAAAATATTACGCGGAATAAATTTAATATTTGAATAATAAAAAAACAAAATGGCGTCGTTTTTTTTGGCAGCGAAAAATCAATCAAAATCGAGAAAAAAAAAATATTGACGGAAACGTAATAAAAAATTTGATTCGTTTCCATAAAGCAAAAAAAATGTTTTTGTTCTCTAAAAAAAAAAAAAAAAAATTATAAAAGTCATAGAGTAAATAAACAATACTTACCGTTCTTTCGGCAAATTCGATGGAAACGAGTAAAGAACAAATTATAAAAAATATAAAAAGCTGCCCCTTCATTTTTTAAATAAATCTGAAACAAAAAAAAAATAAAATAAATTTAGTCTACTCCTTTTTTTTTCGTGAGGAGGTGCTTCCTTTCTCTCCCCAACCCCCCGAAAATAAAAGAGGGGAAAAAAAAATTTATTTTTAATCAAAACAAAAAAAAAAGAAAATTTTATTGTGTTGTTGTCGCTGTTATTCAATCTATTTAATTTAAATTTTAATAAATGAGGAAAAAAAAAACGGAAAAAAGTTATTATTATCATTATTATTATTATTCATATTTTTCATTTTGATGTTGAAACGGGTAAAAAATTTATTAAAAATTTTATTATTATTATTATTTTTTTTTTCCCCGATGGAAAAATCTTATTGAAAATGGCTACGGTGGTGTCGGTGGTGGTGATGATGATGATGATGGTGGTGATGATGATGATGATGGTGGTGATGATGGGGATGATGGGGATGATGGTGGTGGTGGTGGTGGTGGTGATGGTGGTGATGATGACGGTAATCATTATAATAAAGTTTTTTTCTCTAAATTTTCAACGGTTTTCACAAAACAACAAAATTTTCTTTTATTCCTATTCACGTATGTAATTAAATAAAAACAAAATGGCGGACGATTTTTTTTTTCCATTTAAAAAATTGTGCAAAAATTTTTTTCATTTCATTTTTACTTTATTTCGTGTCTCTTATCAGTCGAGTTTATTTTTTTTTTCCGCTACAAATAATAATTCGAAAAAAATAAAAAAATAAAAGGAAAAAACTTTTGGCCTCGAATCGACCTATTTCGACCTATCGAAAAAAAAAAAAAAATGGCGCAATCGGATAAAAATTTTTAAAAATCCGTGTCATGTACGTCGCCCCCCCCCTTATTTCTTTTTACATTTTGTATAAATTTTTATCATTTCCTATCACAAATGATACTTATTATTATTAACATTAAAAACGCGTCGTGGCAAAAGAAAATAAATAATAATAATAATAATAATAATTTACGAAACGATGATAAATAAATTGATTGATCGATTCATTGATTGACTTTTCCCTCTCTCTCTCTCTCTTGTTAACAATCTATTAAAAGGCGATAAATTAATAATTTAAGCAAAAAAAACATAAAAAATTTCAAATGATAATAATAATAATGATAATGATTATAAATCGACCGACAAAAAAAAAAATAAAAAAATTTTTTCAAGCTTTAAAACAAAAAAGATTGGGATATAAATTATTTTTTTTTTTTGGTGTGTTGGTCATTCTCACATCGGAAAATTTATTTATCGGAAAAACCGTTGATAAGAAAAAAGAAAAAAAACGCCGCAGCTCGAATCGTTCGTTCGTTCGTTATTTTCCCTAAAAATAAAGTGGTTTTAGATAAATTCGAAAATTTTTTTTTTTTGTTCGTTTTTCATTTTTTTCACTCTCTCTCTCTCTTTCTCTCCCTCTCTCTCTCTTCAAAAATAAAAATTTTTATTAATTTTTTTTGTTTTACTGATGATTAATAAAAATTTGATGACGTCAAAAAATTTATTCCTTCTATTAATGTTAAAAAACAAAATGGAAGAAAAAGTTAAAAAAATACGAAAAAAACAAATTTTTTATATTTATTTTCGTAAAAATAATAAACAAATAAAATAATAATAATAATAATAAAATAAATATCAAATCAAATTATTTATAAAAAAAAACGTTTGTTGTTGTTTGTAAATATTCGTTAAAAATAAAAATTTTTCTCGTAACGACTCCATTTTGTTTTTTTTTTAAATCATGTTCTTTGATCCGAAAGAAAAAAAATTCCGTTAGATATTTTTCCGGATACGAATAGTTTCCTATTCCCGAAACCCGTTTTTTTTAAAATGTGTCACGTGATTGCATGAAAACGTTCAAATACAATCGAGTCAGGATATCCTAAAACGATGATGTTACGACATCCTTTTTTTCATTTCTTCTCCCACGTCGAATTGAATAAAAATTTTTTTTTTTACATGTTTGTGTGCGATACGGATGAAAATCACCGGAAGTAATAATCGGTTACCTAAAAATTTTTTTTTTGTAGGCGGGTTACATTTATTATCAACGAACTTTTTTTTTAATAAATAAAATAAAATAGAAAAAAAATCCGCCATATTTAATTCATAATATGACGAACAAATTTTCTTGTATTGAAAAACTTTTTTTCCTTCCTTTTTTTATCAAAAAAAATTTTCTTTTCTTTCAATTCTTACTTTTCCGAATAAATCATGCGTGAAAAAAGAAAAAAAATGAAACGGTTACTTAATTTCCAATAATAATAATAATAATAATAATAATAATAATAATAATAATAATAATAATAGAAGAAGAAATTTTTATTTATTTACGAAAAAAAAATTTTTTTTATACGAAAAAAAACGTCATTCGATTTCAAACATTTCTTTCCCTCCCACCCCCCCACTCCCCATCCCTCACCCAAATAATTAATAATAAAATTTAAAAAAAAGATTTTTTTCTGTTCCGTTTCCGGTTTTATAAAAACAACAACGACAAATTTATTTCCGGTACCGAAAATAAAAAAATATCCGCCATTTTGTGTTTTAACATAAGAAACGTTTTATGGGATTACAAAATTTTTTCATAGAGTATATGAATATATATCGAATAACCGGAAGAAGTTGATTAGAATTCCATAGAATAATTTTCCGGGGGAGGGGATGAAGTTTAATCAAACTTGAGAAATGAATAATAATAAGAAAGAAAAAAAATCTTTTAAAAGTAATTAAAAAAAAAAAAAAAAACTTTTCGCCTCGGATTATTTTATTACGTAATAATAATAATAATAATAAAGCAGAAGACGTTAAAGAAAATTTTCCCTTTTTCTTTTAAATAAATAAATAATTATATATAAAAAAACATTTAATTATATTTTCTTACAAATTTTTATTTATTTTCCAGACATTTCTTTCCCCCTCTCCCCATTTTGATTACGTAATTCTTCCGGTTCGTTTTCCATTTAAAAAAAAAAAAAAATTTTGTGGGGGGAGGGGGGGTTATAATCACGACAAATCCAAACCAGACAAACACGAAATATTATTTATTATTATTATTTTGTTTTTCGGGGATTTCAAAATGTATACGTGAAAAAATATCAAAAAGAATATGTAATGCATTTTTTATCACATAATCCTCCCCCTTCCCCCCATTTTATTATTATCATTATTATTATTATTTTAATAGAATTTTGTCGTTGTTGAAGAAAGTAAAAGAAGGAAAAAAGATTTTACCTTTTCTTTTTCTAAAGATTTTTCTCCTTTTTTTTGTCTTTTAAAATTTACAACACGCAACTCGTTGGGTAAAAAAAAAAAAAACGTGAAAAAAATTTTATTTTTTTTCCCTCTCAAATAAGAAATGATAATGATAATAATAATAATAATAATTGTGAAAAGCAGAAAAAAAAAGATTTTTCTGAAAAGAAATTTTTGCAAATATATTTTTTTTGATACGACAACCGCATTATGATTCTCTTTGTAAAAGAAAAAAAACGACGCCATTTGTTTTAATAAAATCTCCATCGAATGATATGTATATCATAAAAAAAATATTTTAAACCAGACAAACAAAAAAAAAAAAATTTATGTGTCGATGCACTTGGATGTCATTTAGCCTCTCTCTCTCTCTCTCTCATTAATTGATACGAAAAAAAAGTTCATGGCAGCGAGCGAAACATCAACGATAATAAATTAATTAATTAGTGACCATTTCTGTCTCTCCCCCCCCCTCTCTCTCTCTCTTTCTCTCTCTGTCTCTCTTTTTTAAATTAGTACGATTTAAACTTTTTATAAAAAAAAAAACAAAAAATTAATTGAAAGAATTATTATATACGATTGACTGTTACGAAATAATAATCGTTATCATTCATTTAAAAATTAAATAATAATAATAATAATAAAATGTCAATGATAAAACAAATAAATCGTGTGTGCGCGCCTTCATACGTCGTCTGCTGACCCTTCGTCGTCACTCTGCCACCACGTCGTTTTAAACATATATATGCATATACCGCGGACAAAATTTTGTTTTCTTACCCTTTCTCTCTCCTCTCCTCCCTCCCATCCCCTCCCTCTCCTCCCTATCTTCTCCACCACCCCTTCCCCTCCCCCACAACCTCCCCGTTTATTTCTGCCCTCGTATAGTCGTTATCAGTGCGTGGTCAGTGATAAACAAATGGTAAACTTTATTTGACCCTAATTACGAACGAGGTCGTCGTTCCTTTATTTATTTATTTTTTTTTTAAATAATTATTTTCGCGCGCAAATTCAAAAAAAAAAAAAAAATCGAAAAAAAAATTTGTGCCTTCGCGTGACGTCATAAAATTTTTCAACCAATCAAAAAATTCCTTTTTTTTTCTCTCGTTTTTAAATAATTTAAAATTTAACCGACGATTTGAGATTTCTTTTTTTTTGTTTTTAAAATACTAGAAATTTCTTTTTCCTTTCTGGGAAAATAATAAAATTTTCACGGATTTCTTTTTAAAAATGGAATTAAGGGGAAGGGAAGGAAGAGAAATTACGAAACGAAATAATAAAAGTTTTTCAAAAATCGACCGTTAGTTGTTAGTAGTCTGTGACGTACGTAATTCGCCATTTTCTTTTTTAATTACGTTTCCTTTACATATATATATATTCTAACGTGACAAACTCATAAAGTTTTCTATTCATTATTTAAACTTGTTTCTTCCCAACGTGATACAATGAATAATTCATAATAAAATAAAATAATGATGATAATGATGATGATTTTTACACATCGTAAAATCTCTCTCTCTCTCTCTAGCAGACTAAAAAACAAAAGGAATTTAAAATCAACGTATATATATTGATTGTATAT